CCAATCAATCTGGAAATCAAAATGCCTCTGATTGGAATACAAAGCTTAAAGCTGGTGTAGACTAGATGAGAGAGCAGCTGGTTGCACAGCTAGTGCTGTGCCTGGAATCAGAAGACTCATCTTCCTGAGCTCAAATCTGGCCTCAGACAAATACTAGCTGTGTAACCCTAGACAAGTCACTTAACCCTGTTTGACTCAGTTTCTTCATCTGTAAAATGAGCTGGAAAAGGAAATATCAAACTAGTATCTTTGCCAAGAAAACCCTAAATGGGCTCATGAAGAATCAGATTTGACTGAAAAATGGCTTAAAAAAAACACATTCCCAGGTGAACATCCTGGATTCTAAGAAATGTGTTCCTTTCTTCTTTGTTTCTTCCTATTACCAAAGAATTGATGCGGGGCTATGGCTATATTGGTTTCTATGGTGATGGAGTAATTTTTTTTTTCTTCCCCCTTCAATGATTGAAGAGTTTTCACCTCATTAGTTTCTCAATTGTCTCATATTGGTATTCTCACTGATTGGCTATTTGAACTGTTCCTTTCAGGATATGGAATCCATTATTCACATTGTTGGGCTAGAGTGTGTGCCTGGTTTGGGGAAGATACAGGCTCCATGCTGCACAAGGTTGTGTGAATGTTGACCTCAGATCAAGCCAGAAGAAGTATAAAGTCTTCACCTCCAAAGCGGCTTTCAAGCAGCCAGGAGTGAATCATTCAAAGGTGTTGGCTCCAGGGCCATTTAGTATTTAAGGAAGATTAAGATCCTTTCTCTGCATTTGCATTGTTTTCCCTGAAATCTGGTCTTTGTCAAAGGCCCCTTGGACTGTTATACATGTTTTACAAAGAGACCAGGATTGCCTTGTAATCTCTGAGTAAGTTAGGAGTTAATCAAGCATGTTTACACACTGTAATAAAATGGGTTTCGTGTGTGAGATTACATTTGCAGGAAACAAAAGGAAACAGTAATAAACGAATTGCTGAAATTTCTGATTCATATGGAAGCGTTGCTTAAAATCTTTGGATAAACTGGAAGCAAGTAATGATTTTATGTCTGTTTATTTCATGAATGATGTCAGATGTTTAGAAAATATGGAAACAAGATGAATTATTCATTTTGCATTAAAAAGCTCTTTATACTCTCTTAAAAGCCCTCTGCTAATGAAGAACCTGTAACAAGTTCACAAAAGCCTCTTCTAATGAACGACTCAATTTTAGTACTCTTCAGATGTCCTCATTAGAACACCACTTTCCTTTTACTTTGACTCCAAAGCACAGCTGAATATTTCAGATTTCTATCTAAAGAGAAAGGTTTCTGGTTTTGTTAAAGGCAGAACTGTAATCCAGTCAAACTGGTCAAGAGTAGATTTTTGTATCCAGAGGTTATACTTTACATAAGTTAAGTTAAAAAGAGGTAAAGAAATTCAGCTTCTATTTTTCCTATTAAGAATTCTGTTAAGAATTATATAGCTGAGACAGTGGTGGAGATAGTTATCTTAGACCATGCTGACACATCAGCACAGGGGCAATGAATGAACAAATGAATGCATAAAACTGTGGTAGGACAAGTCAATGAGCATGTATTAAGCACCTACTTATATGCCAGGCACTGTGCTGAGTGCTGGGAATTCAAAGAAAGGGGGGGAAAACAAAACAAAACAAAACCCTGTCCCTTTTGTCAAGGAGCTCGCTATGTGATACAAACAACTATGGACAAACAAGCTATACGCAGAATAAATGGGAGATAATCAACAGAGAGAATGCAATAATACTAAAGAGGAATCAAGAAAGGCTTCTTATACCTACCCAGAAAGGTAATAGGGGCCACTAGAATTTATTGAATGGGGGTAAAGGATGCTGATGGGGTCAGATCTGAGCTTTAGGGAGATCAATGGATGAGTGGAAGATGACTGGAGTGGAGAGAAATGAGGGAGGGAAACCAGGCAGAATACCCTCAAAATAGTCCAGATGTGACATGAAGAAGACTGAATGCACCTGAATCAAGTGGTGACACTGTCAAAGGAAAGGAGGGGGCCAGTGTGAAAGATATTATGAAGATGGAACAGGACTTGGCAATTGATTGGGGGGGGTTTGTGAGAGAAAATGAGGAGCTGAAGATGATACCCCAGTTGTAAGCCTGGGTACCTGGAGGCTGGTGGTACACTAGATGGTGAAATGGATAGAGTGCTAGGCCTGGAATCAGGAAGACCCGAGTTCAAACTCAACCTCACTTACTAGCTGTGTGTCCCTGGACAAGTCACTTAACTCTGTTTGCCTCAGTTTCTTCATCTTTAAAATGAGCCAGAGAAGGAAACGGCAAAACATTTCAGTACTTTCAGTATAACCTCAAATGGGGTCATGAAGAGTTGGACACAACTGAAGCAACAGAACAACAAGATTTTGGGAGTGGGGTGGGGGGAAGGGGAAGGTAATTAGTTCACTTTGGGACATATTTAGTTTAACATGTCTATGGGACATCCAGTTCTTTTTGTGAGCACACTGTGATCTTTTCTGTTCCTTTGGAATTTTTTCCTCTTTCAGATAGCTTGAGAACCAGTTCCTCTAAATGCCTTAAAAATGTGTTCCCTTCAGCATGGACTTCTTAGTATGTACTTGATCTGATCCAGCTGCTTTTCCTGATTTGTTTTTTTAAAATACCATTTCTCTCACAAAGTGTATTTCTTAAATACGCATTGTGTTTTCTTAAATACATTCTCTTGCTTATCGTATTGTGCCCAACACATGAACCAAATGTGTTGGTTCCACAGATGTATCTGATAAGACCACTATAGAAATGCTGGCAGATCTGCTGAAGTTTATTCCTTTGAAATAGTATTTCTTTTAGTTGGAGAGAATTAAATTCTCTTCACTGATTCTAGAGTCACCAACAAAGGGCTTGCTACTTGGAGGATGAAAACATTCTTGTCTGAAAAATCATCTCTAAGACAAGAAAAACTGTAAAGAAGGGGAAGTCATAGCCTTTTCTTTCTGTGTCTTTCTCTCTTCTGGTAATAACTTGCTCTGCCAAAATAAATTTTCTTTTTTATCCTTGCACTTAGTTGCCTGGTGTACTCATATTCTGTAACCCCTTTCAATAACTTGGTCTTTGGAAAGGAATTGATAGATTCACACACACTTGAGCTGTAAACAACTGATAAAATTCCACAATGTTTACATTATAAGAGAAGACAAAGTTTTAAGTTAGAGGAATGAATTTCAAATGATAGAAATTCATGCATTACTAAGTCAGTGAGAGTGGCTTTATTTTGGTTACAATTACTTCCTCAGGTGTCCTTGAAATTACTTCACTTTTCTTCAAGTATGAGACTCAACCATAATCATCCCCATAAGGCACCGGTTAGAACAGTTGAGGGAAAGAAAATGCCTCTAGAAATTGGAAGAGGCACCATGAATTAAAACATAACCAATTCTTGGTAGGAGTCAGAAGGTATCAAGATGCCAAGCACAGAGATGCCCAAAAGTTCACAGAAATCAAAATTCAAGAAATGAACAAACAATAAAACCCATGCCTTCAATTGTCTCTACACAGATGTACCAAATGTGGGTAAACAAGAAGGATGAACTAAGGAGACAAATTTTGAGATTCAGTGGGATAACATCATGATGAGAATATGGCACTAGAATGGTATGCCTTATTTGATAGAAACAAGTAAAAGGATGGTGGTGGTGGAGGTGAAATAATATTGTCTATTAACAAGATACTCACATAAGGAAAACCAGGAACCAGAGGAGAGAGACGGTGGTGAAGAGGAAGAAACAGAGTTGATATTATAACAGGATCTTTTACCTAGGCAAAAAAGAGGAAATGCAAGAAAAGTTCAGGGAACAGATCTCTATCTGCAGTTCAACTGTCACAGGGGCAAGATACAGTAATTGTTTTAATTACTCAGGCACCTGTTAGAGTGTGCTGTATTCCAAAAGCAGAACCACAGCTAATAAATTTATTAGCTTCCTAATAATTTGATGCTTTAAAAGATAGAGTAACAAACAAGGGTCAATTACAGCCCAAGTTTGATTATTACCAAAAAAAAAAAGGAACTGGTTGTTGGGATAGAACTGATGGGAACCTTCACCCAAAATAACTAACTAACTAAATAAATAAAAGGAACTGGCTACTGGGATAGAACTGATGGGAACCTTCATGGAAAATAACATGAGAAGAAAATTGTGTACAGTTGGATATGCACCCTAGATTTTGGGAGAGCTGAGAGTTGTGACACAAAGGGTAAATAGAAGAAGAGACAGACCGACAGAGACTGAGACAAAAAGAGGGTGAGACAAGTAATTCTCACGAGAGCAATTGAGCCTTTTCCTATCACACCCTCTCTGCCCCTCCCTCCCACTAATTTTAGATTATATGTAAATCTAGTGTTGATTCTTAGAAAAGGAAGGTGAGGTAATGAAATTATTGACTCCCAAATAAGTTTTTATGAGACTAGGGTTTAGAAGCAATGGCAAACAGCCTCAATATATGGAAGTTCCCACTCTGGTCTTTCATTGCTAGCACATCAGAGAGAACTATGTCCCCTTGTTGGACTGGGAATACTCTGTAGACTTTTCTTTTTAATGGATGAAAATGGAACCCACTGACAAACTAGGGCCTGAAGAGCGATGCCTGCCACTGATTGGGTATTGACTTCGGGTAATTTTACAGAAATACAGGAGAAGCCACAATGGAGGCTAATGCCTCCGTTCTACCTGGTGAGCTGCTCCACATTCCAAGAGAAGCAAAAAGCAGGGAAATGCCTCATCCCCTGGAGCCCTGGAGTACTTGTAGGAGGTGGTTCTTGTTGAGAACCTTGACAAGTCAAGACAGATACTGTATACACATTTTGGAGAGGGTTGATTCTTGGAGATAGCTTTTATTTTCTAAAACCCAGGTTGAGAATTTCTCTAACTTGTCGGTAAAACTTTATTGTATAACACAGTCCTTGTAGATTTCTGAGAAATTTGATTCTGGAGATCCTCTTGAAACTTTTCCTAGGTTTATTGGGCTGTTTGGAGTAATTATGCAAATCACAGCTGGTGTCCCCATCCAATAAGACTTAATCTGTAAGAGACATCAATCCAATAGTAGAAGCATTTAATGAATATGTAAAAGTAGTGCAAAGAGCCAGGAATGGAATCTAGCAATAGGGTCATCCTCTGCCCCATATACAAATGTTTATAATCCCAAATACCTTCCTAAAGTGGAAATTGGGTAGAAATTTCCCAGGAAAATTTATAAAAGAGTAGGGAACCAAAACACAAATAAGTATAGTGTGGTCTTACATAGATGCATATGAATGTATATGTCTATATATGAGTATGATTATAGGTATATAAGTATGTGTGTATGTAAGTATATGAATGTATGTATATACATCTTTCTGTATATAATTGTGTGTATATATGCACACACACATATATGTATGTATATATCTATATCTATATCTATATCCATATCTATATCTATATCTATATCTATATCTATATCTATATCTATATCTATATCTATATCTATATCTATATCTATATCTATATCTATATCTATATCTATATCTATATATCTATATCCGTGCTTAATTGTAGCCTTCTTGGGGGAAAGAAGGGAAGAAGGGAGAAAAAAAGAACAAAGTAAAAGATGCACAGCAGAGAACAAAAGAAAACTTACAAGGAAGCAAAGAAAAGATGGACCGCTTTGAACACAGTGCGTAGTATTTATTATACAGGCTTTCTTGGAATGGAAATTTATTGTATATTTTGAATCCTTTCATGTTCTGCTATGCACATGGCAATTTTTTTCTTTTCTTATTTTGTATTTAAATTTCAATATTTAAGTTTATATGTTTTTCCCCTATTTTCATTGTGTATTTAAGTTTAAAATAAAAATATATTTTGAAAAAAAAAAGAGAGTGGGGAAACCCAATCGAATCTATGTTCTCTTAACACTCTATCAGTGGCTAAAATAATGGTGCAATGGATAGAACACTGGGCCTGGAGTTGGGATGATCAGACTTCAAATTTGTCATTAGACACATACTAGCTATGTGATCCTGAGGGAGTCATTTAACTCTGTTTGCCTCAATTTCCCCATCTATAAAATGGAGATAATAATAGCATCTGCCTCCAAGGGTTGTTGGAACAGTGCCTGGCACACAATTAGATATTTTTGTTGTTGAGTTGTTTCAGTCACGTCCTACTCCCCTTGACCCCATTTGAGGTTTTCTTGGCAAAGATACTGGAGTGGTTTGGCATGTCCTTCTCCAGCTCATTTTACAGATGAGGAAACTGAGGCAAAGAGGGTTGAGTGACTCGCTCAGGGTCACACAGCTAGTAAGTGTCTGAGGCTAGATTTGAACTTCTGAAGATGAGTCTTCCTGACTCCAGGCCCAGCAGCAGTCTATCCACTGCACCATCTGGCTATTAGTATTGCTATTATTATTATAATAGAGATATGCTCCTTTTGAGGACAGGCTTGAACCTGCTGAAACTTCATGGCTTGACTCTGGCATCATAAGGATTCTTCCAGGGACTCCTGGTTGAGGGGATGCTGAGGTAGCCTTTCCCCTTCTGCCTCTCCATTCTGACCACAGCCCTGTGCTGCTTTCTCTGGCCATTCAGAAGCACTCCAGGCCTCCTCAGACACAGAGTTCAATCCTTTCTTCAGGTTGCTTCCTGTCTCCCTTTTTTCCTATTGTTTTTCCTCTCTCTTCCTTTTCTTTTTTCTTTTTTTTCAGGTTCATGCCACCTGATGTGATGCCTGCATCCAAATAAAAGGCTCCATAGGAAGTCCAGGCTTTCTCCAATGAACAGCAGGCCCTCATCACTGTGGACCTGAAGCTGCATTTGAAAGCTCCCATTAAGGGTAAGGTAATCCTCACCCATATTACATTTAATTTTGTGAATAGTGAGCTTGCAAGAAGAATTGGCATCAGCACATTGATTTTCTGGGTGGGGGCTCTAAGATAAAGACATGAAAAATTTCCTGAAGGGAACCTGAGTCTTTTATGTGGTGAGAATCCCTGACACAAAGGTTGCAGAAAAAGACAAAGGCCTACTTGCTGCTATCAAAGCATTTGAGGGCACATAAAAAAGACTATTTCCAGATATTGCCAGAAAAACATAGCCTTGGTACTGGTTGGATATGTGTGATGAGTAAAAGTAAGGAGTTGAATATGATTCTGAGGTTTCAGAAGGAGAGTGGTGTTCTTGACAGAAAAGATGAAATTGGTGGGTTTTGGGGAAAGAAAATGAGTTCTGTTATAGATATGCATAAAAGGTAGTTTTTGGTATTTGACCATCCTCTCTTCCTGTATTCTTTCTCTTCTGTGGATTTTCATGGCATTCCTCCCTCTTGGTTTTCTGTCTGCCCTTCTCAGTGTCATTTGCTGAATATCACACCTACTAATCGTGGGTCCTCTAAGACTCTGTCTTGGGTCCACTTTTGTTTTCTCTACATTCTTTTACTTGGTGACCTCATCATCTCCAGTGGGTTCATAGGAGATATTCAAGAAATACTTATTGATCTCAGGTTTCTTTAAATCAGTGGCTATGTCTTCTGAATGTTTTGCATACTAAGTTAGGTACTAGGAATGTTCAATAAATAGTCAACCAGTCATTGGACCAACCATTTTTATTTTTTATTTTCATTTTTTTAGGCAATTGGGGTTAAGTGCCTTGCCCAGGGTCACATAGCTAGTAAGTGTCAAGTGTTTGGTCTGAGGCCAGATTTGAACTTAGGTCCTCCTGACTCCAAGGCTGGTGCTCTATCCACTGCACCACCTAACTGCCCCCTGGACCAACCATTTTTCACAGATACAAAATACGAATTTACAGACATGTTCAGGGATATAGAGAAATTCCAAGGCAATGACTCAAAAATTTTCTATCAGATCCCTGTTTTAGGATAAGCAAGAGTAGGGAACTATGGACTGAAAACTTGAAGGGTGAGAGGGTCAGTGACAGGGAGTAGTTTACAAATGAGAAAAATTCATTTTTCCTAGGGAGAGATTGCAATGAGCTATGACTAAAATGACTGCCTTCCAGACCTGAGCACTAATGATTTCTTCAGCTAGCCAAGCTAAAGTAATGAGAAGGACAATCAAATCTTAAGCTGCAGGACAATGAGACAACCTGAGGAGATACAAGAATTGTTCTCCTCTAATTGTTATCATTGTATTGCCTACCTCAAACTATTTATCTCAAGTTCTACTTTATGCTCCTTTAAAATGTTAAACCATAGAAGTAAGTATTAAATAGATTAATAGTGCCATTAGTTGTGACAATACCTGTGTTCTTATGGGCTCAATGCATTAAAACCATGCTGAAAAATTAACAAGATGCAAAAAGTGGAATTGGAGTCATTACCATTGATATTATATTTTCTCAATCTTTTTTTTTTGAAGATGGGGGAATCTATTAGTATCTATTTGGATGTCATCACATTACTAATTTTTAAAATCTGGAGTCCCAGGCCAACCCCCCCCTCCCCCTTCTTCCCTTTCCCCTCCTCTCTCTGTCTCTGTCTCTAACTGTCACACTCACACACACACACACACACACACTCTTGGCCACCATAGAGCCTGTGAAGACTTACACAGCAACAACTGAACTCCGTGCTCCCACAGCCACCATGAACAAGTAAGCCATGTGCGAAGAGGTTTGTCCATAGGCAACTCTCTCCTTATCCTTACTGTTAGGTGAAAACCCCTGGAAGTTCTGTGCAGTGAAGGGGGAAGCTGATATGAGTGAATCAATATTCCATTCTAAAGATTATATATGCTAGGAAAACTGGAAAGCAGACTGGCAGAAACTAAGTATAGATCAATAACTCACACCGTATACCCACTGGGTGCTATAATAAACAAATTAGAGGAGGGAAAAAGAAATGAACTTTCTGATCTATGGAGAGGAGAATAGTTCATGACCAGATAAAGGATAGAGAGGATTCATTGAAGAGAAAACAAATAGTTTTGATTATATAAAATTTAAGTTTTTGCAGAAATAAAACCAATACAATTAAAATTAGAAGGGAAACAGATAATTGAGAAAAAAAACATATTTGCAGCAATTTCTCTGATAAGGTTCTCATTTTCAAGCTATGTAAGGAACCAATTCAAATTTGTGAGAATAAGAATCATTCTGTGATTGATAAATGATTAAAGGATGTGAATAGGCAGTTTTCAGGGAAAGAAATCTAAGCTATCAATAGCCATATGAAAACATGCTCCAAAATCACTAATAATTATAGAAATGCAAATTAAAGCAATTATAAGGTTCTGCCCATCTGATGGGCAAAGTTGACCAAAAAATGGCAAATGACAAATATTGGAGAGGCTATGGGAAAACTGGTACATGAACACATTTTTGGAGGAGCTATGAATTGGTTCAAACATTCTGGAAAAACAATTTGGAACTATACCCCTGAAGACATTAAACTGTGACCCAACGATACCACTATAAGTCCTATACACTAAAGAAAGAGGAAAAAGAACCATATGTACAAAAACATTTACAATAGGTCTTTTTGTGGAGACACAGAAGTAGAAACTAAGGGATGACCATCAATTGGAGGAATGGTTGAACAAGTTTTGGTATATGAATATGATGGAATATTATCATGCCATAAGGAATGAGTAGGGGATGGTTTCAGAGAAACCTGGCAAGACTTGTATGAACTGTTGCAGAGTGAAGTGAGCAGTACCAGGAAAGTAATATGAACATTGTGAAGACAAGCAACTCCAAAAGATTTAAAAACTCTAATCTATGTAATGATCAACCACAATTCCAGAGGGCTGGTGATGAAACATGTCCCCCACTCTCTGACAAAAGGGTGATATGTATTTTTGGATGTGACTTATCTGGGGGTTTGTTTTCCTTGGCTGTGCATATTTATTGTAAGGGTTTTGTGTTACCTTTTTTTTTCTTTCAACAAAGAGGAGAAAATGGGAGAGGAAAATAGATATTTGTTAATTTTTTTTAAATTAAAAAAATTATGTGGTCACAAGTATCTTAAAGACATAATTTAATTATTTATATCTGAATTTTAGGTAACCCATTATGCCTCCC